GAGACAGGCATCGAAAGCTGTTCACAGGTAAATTCTGTACTTGTGCACTCAGGGTCTGATTATGCTTAATGAGTTTGTCTTTGAGATTTGGACCTTATTAAGACTATACAGTGAGGTAGGTGTATATATTTGGAAACCACATTTTAGGTTTTATGAAATTGTACATAGGACCAGGTAACCGTACACAGTTATTTCACCTATAATGATTTAAATTAAAAATTCGGTTCATGAAGACAAGAGAACAGAAATTTTTCCTTTATTCAGATTAAGGCCCAAACCTTGTTTTAGTATGAAAGCCCTTACAAATTCTCAAGTGTGTGATATTGTCAGCTTCTTATCTGATACTTTCCAAGTTTGATGGTTTTAGGAATTTTTTGGTCACTCAAACATCCATTAATATATGCAAAATTTAGAAAGCTGTCATCATTAGCAGTAGTGGTTATTTATTTGTTTTATTTTCAGCAGCAAAGTGTTATGTCTGCAGTTGATTTTCCTTCCACCATTCTCATCTCTGTGTGTTTTCTTTGAATATAACATATTAAATTTCCTTAACCTTTCTTGATTAGATATCATGGCTTTGTAATCATCACATTGCCGATTTTTCTTTCTTATTTTAATAAAGACTATAGGTGTATATATGAGATAAAAGTATGTTTTCTAAAAATTCAGACAGTTTCAACCACACATGGACTAATTGTGTCCATACAGTTACATTGCATTACATGTGAACTTGTTTTACATTATGAATTAAGATTATCTAAAAGATTTTAAAGTTAGGTATTAAATAAAATGTTGATTTTTTTGATTTTTTGTTATTAAAGTAACATCTCTAAGCCCTCTATTTTTTTTTATCATCTTTATAGTAACCCAGCTGACCCTGCTCTTTGGTCTCTGTTGTCCCGAGTGGTTGCCCAGCATGCTCAACGAAATGCAAAAGTGAGTATCTTTCTGTCCTGAATTCTGACAGAAAGATAAAATAACTTGTGATGGGGTAAATAATATAATTTTAAAGTATTAGCATTAGCATTCTGGAAAATAATTAACTAATATAGCAAGGGAATTCTATTCCTTAACGAAGTTTTCTATCAGTAGTACACTGAGTTTCTTCCATGTGCTATCGTACTGCTCTGGGTGTTACAGAAAATGG